GTTGTAACTAGATGATCTTTAAGGTCCCTTCCAACCCTAACCATTCTATGATTCTATGATATTGAAAATAACGAAGAGTGTTCCTCAACATGTTAACTATTAATTATGAAAAGTTACTGTATTTATAGAAAAATTACTTGTGCTTTGATCACAGTACAAAATATAGGTCTTTTAGATAATAATACCAACCAAAGACAATATTCATATACAACACCCTGCAAAGCACTGTTTCTCAATTCCTAGTAAAGTCAGTACTACTCTGCAATTTTAATATTTTAAACTAGGAAGCTATATATAGTGATAAGATTTTGAGTACTATTATGAAATTAGGTTCCCTACATCTTAATGGCCGAGGAAAGAAGTTGGTAGCCTCATGTGAAGTAACTGATGGTGTCAAGTCATCAGCAGAGGACTGTGTTTCTTCATCATCACCCGACAAGAGGTCTTTAGCTATTTCCTCCTGTATCATTAAAATAAAAAAGAAAAAAAACACCCTCAGACTGACTATTAAGTATAGACTGGTAAGCATTTAAATTCAGCAAATTGTAAGTCCCATTAGAGTAAATTATTTTACCATAAGTAATTTTAGCAGACCATCCTCTCAATTAAAAAGTTAGTTCATTCCTCCAAAATCTCAGAAGAAATATAACCATTCATTTCAGAGTTGAACACAGGGGTTCATTTCCCCCTTGTGCTCCATTAAAATAAATGCACAAGTAGTAACCTCTACAAGCATCAAATCTCACATGTTCCTCCAACTGCTTCCAATAAAATCTTTAGAATTCTGTCATTCTTTGCATCACAGATATACAAAAACAGCTAGGCACTTTTTCTTTCCCTTTTTCTTTCCAATTCACAAGAACAAAAACAGGTGTTTCTGTAGGGTCAAAAAAAAAAAAGAAAAAGGAAGAAAAATAAAAAGCACACTTCCTCCACTAGCAGACATGTTTGAACCCCACCATACAGAGATTAGGGAGGGAAAGAACTGTATTAGAAAAGCTGACTACATTTCTTTAGCCTCAACACAATCATAACTCCTAATGAGAATCAGACGTGCAGAGCCATCATTATACCCAACTTTCTGTCAAGTTTATCATTTCATCATACTTACAGAAAAAATACAAAAAACCCCAAACCCCACATATTTACTACCTACAGATTTTATAATACAAACTACTAGCTGCATATGCTTTATAGCCAAAAAATCAGAATAAAATCTCTGAATTCATTTTTTGTGATTCGCCGGCTAACTCTGAAATTCCATGGGTTTATATTCAACAAAGCAACAGTCAACTGCACATAAACCAAACTCTCTCAACCCACAAAGTTGAGAACTGTCCAAATTATAGGCATTTGAAAAGAACATTCCAAAGCATTCAGGAGCACATGTTCAAGTTCTCCACAAAGGTTTGATACAAGATATGTATCTTGAAAGCCAGAATTATTATTTCTGGACATTGCATACATTAAAATAAAATACAGTTCTTTTCAGAAAAATTCCACTTCTATTAAAAACAAAAGGAAATCTATTTAAAAGTTCTCTGGGTGTGTTTTAGAACTGTTAACTTATTCATTTCGCATTTGTAGTAACAGTGCAACTGAAGTTGCTATGCACATGTGTGATAATTAGATTCAGATCCTCAATATCCTTGAAAAAGAATGAATTCAGAGTAGAACCACAGAAACATAGAATCATTTAGGTTGGAAAAGACCTTTAAGATCATCGAGTCCAACCATAAACCTAACACTGCCAAGTCCACCACTAGAACAGTAACTCTTAATTGTATATTGAAATTGACAAAGATATGTATTCTGTAACAAGAGATAGTGAAATATAATTTAAGGTCACCTGGATTTCTGCTTTTAAACCATGATAAAGGGTAAAATAGTTCTGACTTACTTTATCTAGAGTCATATCTGGAAGTTCATCTGCAAGTTCACTTTGAGAGCTATCTGTGCTAGAACCAGCCATAACTGGAATCGCAGGTTCATAGCCATAGAATGCCAGTAAATCATCCAATGGCATGTTTCCTTCCTAATACAAGGAGATTTACAAACATTTCAGCATATTAACAGATACTTGTAAACAGTTCAGGCCTAAAAGGATAAGACAAAAAAAAAAAAAAAACACCAAAAACAAACAACAAAACCCCATACCTTAATTGAAAGCAGGAATCTTGATTAAAAACCTAAAAATATTTTCAGGCACAGGACTGAAATAATTCATAACCATGTCTCTTGGCACATAATGAAGTCCCATCAAGCTATTGAAGAAAACCATTTACTGGACAAAATTAAAGAGTGATTATTAAAGCTTTGCTTCTTATCTGATTCATACTGTAGAACATGATTTGCCTATGTTTCAAGACAGAAAATATCCTAGAAACACTTACAACCCCCCTGAAAGAAAGGAATGCAGAACAACTTGGAAACTTTAGTCAGTCCTATATAGTTACAGCTGTGAGTGTGCAAAACAGCACAGAAGTAAACCAGTATAGCAACTTTTTATCCATCTTCCACAAAATATATCTTATAATGATTGTTGAGAAGGTGTCATGGTTCAACCCCAGCCAGAAACTATTCACCACACAGCCACTTACTCACTTTACCCCAGTGGGATGAGGTGGGGGAGAATCAGAAGGGTAAAAGTGAGAAACAAATTCATGGGGTTTAGTAATTAAAAAGAAATAATAATTTTTAAGCATTGTAAGGAAAAAGGGGGGAAGGAGATGGGAGTGGAAGGGAGTAAAACACAAGAAAGCAAACAATGCAAATGAAAAAATTGCTCACTACCACCAAACAACCAATGTCTAGCCAGTACCCAAGCAGTGGGGCACTGAGAGGAGCAGAAGAGAGAGGAACAGATGCTGTGGAAGCACTGTTCAGCAGTAACTAAAACATCAGTGTGTTATCAACACTATTTCCAGCAGAAATCCAAAACATAGCCCCATACCAGCTACTATGAAGAAATTTAACTCTATCCCAGCCAAAACCAGTACGGAAGGTAATAGAAGAAAGACAGCTAATGATACAGAAGCAAAAATCAAGAGAAACGCTTGGTTTATAATTTGTTTTTTCCAACAAATTATTTTAGTATCTATCATCATACTTGCATCCTAACATAATTAATAAAACAAACTGTGGAAATTATTTTTTGTTACCTGATGTCTAAAACAGGACTCTGTTTCCAGATTGGAAAAACAAAATGTGACCAACAGAATGATCCACAGCTAGCTGTCACTTAATAGTATGCAAAATGTACAATTTAAACTTATTTCCAACCTATAAAACTTAGAAGTCATAAGTGATATTATATGACAGGACTCAAACCTGCTTCAGTAATTTCTATTCCAAAGTTAAAAGATTATTAAATGAAAAAGAAGAATCTGAACTTAGCTTCTCAAACATATGTGTTATGTTAAGTTCAGCCTTTTTGTGAGGATACACTGTTATATCCTAAGCAAACCTGATTTTCCTTTCTTTAAACAAACTGCAAAGGCATTTTAGAGGAAACTGTATTACACAATACAAACTAAAGAACAGGTTGAGTGTTCTTTTTCACTAAAAAAGGTACAACATATATGGACGCTTAGAGAACAAGTCACTCTTACCTTTTCTAAATCTTCAATTTCAGAGCTGAAATTTTTGTTTTCTTCCATCATTTTCTCTTCTTCTTCAAGAGTTCGCTCATCATCATAATCATGTACCAGCATTTCAGCAGAAGGGTCAAAGTCATGATCCTCAGACGACAAAGAGCCAACTATCAAAAAAACCCTAATTTGAGCAATTATTTTTTTATACCAAAATATGAAATTACATTACAGAAAAAAAAATAAAGTTGCATAAATTTTTTACATACAGGGTCAGAACTCTCAATGGAGTAACTATAACAAATTCCTAACTACCTGACAAATTCAACTATTTTAGCTGGCCTTCCCTTCTCATACTTATAATAGGTGCAGTTTTCTCTCTTGCAGTATAAGAGTTTTCTCTCTCGGAGAGCAGAACAAACCTCCCATG